ATGAGTACAAGCAAGGCCTATCCTAGTATAAGCAGGTCTTTCAGGGATTACAGTTATTGTTATACTGGCATTTCATTTTCACTTGAATTTGTAAAACTTTTCTTTGGTGCAGAGCTGTATAAAGAGATTTTTTTCTTACAAAAAGAATATTATAATGTTATCTGTATTTGTGATGGAATATTATTTATTTGTTGCTTTGTTCTGATCAGGGAGTATGATTATATATAAGCACAAATATATACATACATACACACATATAGTATAGATGCAGGTGTGCATTTCTCCCAAGGATAATTATGCATTTTGATGCTTATATTCTTGTGCTTTTGTTTTGCATTATTCTCGTACCTCATATTTTGTATTATATTATATACAACCTCTGCACAGAATGTTTGGCATATGGAGAGGTGCTCACATGTATTGTATAGATATGCATTTATATGGCTAAGCATATGCATATAGAATAATATAGAGGTATGTCCAGATGTCTCACACATATAGAAATACCTGGACATGTTCTGTTTCTCCAAAGACTTTTTGGATTATTTCCTGGCTCTGACATTATTTTCTGAGGAGAAACAGAACTAACTGGAGGGTTTCCTCAGTCCTGATGAGTCTCATTCTGTTGTGAACCTCTTCTTTTCTCCTGGGTCGTTGTGCAAGCTGGCTCAGCTGACTAGCGCTGGAGCTGGGGAACCAGTTGGGTAAATATTCCAGCTTAATTGGGGGTCCCAGACGTTCACACTTGGAGATCCCTACTCCGTTGGAGAGCTGACAGTGGGGATTGTGGAAAGTGGTGCTGCTACTCATGATGGTGTTGATGAGGGCAGTAAAGGCTTCTCTGAATGGGACTTTAAGTCTGGGGTGTTTGGGCTCTTTGGCTACTGAGACAGTGGGCAGTGTCTTTGAATGGAAGTTAGAATAGGCAAGAGAAGCCAGTGGATAAGGAGGTAGGTAGCCAGTTGGTAGAAGGAAGGGAAGACGATTCCCTCTCCTTTCAGATTTGCTGCAGCAATAGGGAGGATTAGAGAGTTTATGGAGCTGGGCTGAAAGGCAAATATCTTGTTACTGGTGTGGATACCATTTTAATCCTCTATAGGAGACTGTGCCAGTGCCAGGGCAAGTGGGGAGAGGTCGGCTGCTAGGGACCTATCTTTCTCAAGAGACTGCCAGGATCCCGAGATGAAAGAGAATTGAAGGATGTTGGGCAGGGAGACCCTCTTTGGCAGAGTGCTGGGACACTAAAAGGACCCCCTCTCTTCCTTGGGGCCTAACGGAGACTAGGGTGGGAGCTCAGGTAAATAGCAGAGGGGGAAAGAAAATTATACATTTCAATAAAAACAACAAAAAAAAGGGCAGTTTAGCTGAAGAGGGAGGATTTTTCTACCCGGGCTTTCTTGGGAAATTCTGTTTCTCCCCCTGGCTATCCTGTTGAGACACGTTGCAGGAGCTCCCTTCAGAGTCAGGAGTTTCCTCTACCGAGAGTGAGAGAGAGAGAGAGAGAGAGAGAGAGAGAGAGAGAGAGAGAGAGAGAGAGAGAGAGAGAGCTGACTGGTTTTCAGGCCTTGCTTCGCTGAGGAACTCGGGGGACCCTGGCTAAGAAAGCCTCTCCTCTTTATGGTCCCTACTCCAACCCGGGTCGCCACTGAGAGCTGCCTCGCCTCCCCTGCTTTTGGCAGCCGCCCCGTTTTTATTGTGTCTGTGTTGTTTATTTGTTTGGTCTGCTGCCACCCTGTGTTAGAAACCCGCCAAACCAGCGGCTAGCTCGGGAGAACCTTTGTGCCGCAGTGACCCTCACCCCCGTCAGGGCCCAGGCTGGCCCAGTTCTTTCCTTGGAGTGGGTGAGACCACAGGCGCCCTAAAAGCTGTAGCTGTTTATAGGATTGAGGGAATTATTGGGACATAATAAACCTCCGAGTGTACAGGAGCTGGAGAGGATAGGGAATAAAGCCTCCGCCAGCCGCCTCCCTCATCTCCACTTTCTTTCCTTTTCCCTAGTAACGAACCCTGAAAAAGGATAGAATCATTGAGAAAGTTTTATTTCTCTACCCCCCCCCATTCCCCCATTACTTTTGGCAGGAATTTTCCCTGAGATGCAGGTTGTTGAGTTTTAAATCAGGGTAATGTCGGAGGATTCATAAAGCTAGATAAAGCGTATCGTTCTCCCCTCCCTCCCCTCTTTTCCCAGCCCCCCAAAATAGCAGTGAATTTAAGCAAATCCTACAAAATTAAATTGCCCCTTCGCTAAAGATCCTATAAATCTCCAATCTCTCCAGGTGTGGAGTCGGAGAGCCCGCTCCTCGCTTTTAATTTTGCTCCTAGCTATCAAATCTAAAAGAGCATCATCGAAGTAAGTAATATTCTCGTTTCTGGAATTAATTTCCCCCCTTCCCCATCTCTCTCCCCCTTTTGCCAGCGCAGATTAAATGGTTCTTTCAGGTCTGCAAACAATAAAGGATAAAATTATTTATAGGGAAATGAGGACGATGCTTCATTGTTGGCTTATCGTTCCAGAACATAATAACATTTTATTTTCGAGCAGCAAAACTTAGACCAAAGAAAAGAGAAGGGGGGAGAGTAGGAGGAGGAAGGGAGGGAACACACGCACAAAACTCCCGCTGTATATAACTTTTACGACATTTACAATTTCCTTATGACAACTCACTGTGACGTCATAAACGCCGGATTCTTGAATTTTAAATTTTCCATAAACCCTCCTGAAATGGGCACAGGCGACACTTGGATTCAAGGGAAGTCGTGAAAGTCACGGGGACTGAGGGAGAATACTGGGATTGGGGGGGGTAGTGGTGAGACAGAAGGGAAGTTGGCAAAGAGCAGAATTAGAACTGCCTAGCTCCCCAATTTCTTCCCACATATGAGGAACCTTTATCAGGTTCGGGTATGGAAATACTCAGTGATTTTTCCCCTTCTCTGCGGTTAGAATGGAAAGGCCATTCTGTCTTATCCTACACAGCAATTCCACTGTCTCTGAGCTGTCCTCTCTCCCCCAGAACGGGAAGCAGAGTCTCATGAGAGGTTTCCTATTTGTAGATTCAATCTATTCCCCCCACCCCCTATGGATATTTAGATATATTGGGCAAAGAAGAAGAAGAAAGGAGGAAGCAGAGCTATTGGCAAAGTGAGTTGTGGTTTCCAAGAGTGGGATTGTAAAGTATGGATGTGAGAAGAAAGGGATGGAGAGTCTCTGCGCTATTATATTGTTCAACGTGAAGCCAGAGAAATAAAAATGTCCAAGAAAATAGGATTCGGATTTTGGGTTTAGGGGAGGAGGATTTTGGGGAACTAGAGAGAGAGGGGGGAAACTTGGACAGAGAGGAGCTTGGGGGATGGGGGAACAGACAGATGGAAATTTTATATACTATGAGAGGTCCTTCATTAAACCCTACCCTGCTTAATTGCAAATAAAGCAAAAACAGTTCCAAGACTGCTCTTTCCCCCTCCCCTTTGCCCGAAATAAGGAGTAAATTAACGAGGGCCACAGAGGTGTTTCCCGATTTCCTGTGTATTCTGACAGGATACAGAATCCAGTCTTTCTCCCTTTACCCACTCTCCTCCAAGTTCCAAGAAATCCTCATCGTACACATGGGTGAGATGAAGAATTAAATGGATAATATCACTGAGGAAAAGGCTCCATTTCTAGGTTAGGGATGTCAAAGTTCGACCACTGTTTACCTTCTCATCTCTTAAACTCTGAGAGAGGGGAGAAAGAGAATTAGAATTCCTCAAACTGGACATGGGCAAGCTGGGGGGTTGGAATGTTCTCCTTTATTTCACTCCTCCACTCTAAAACTCCTGAAAGTTCAATATGTTGGGACCAGGACGCCAAGGTCCCGATTTTGCCCCCTTCCTTTCAGATCCCTGATTCCCAGCTACAGCTTCAAGATGATCTTTTCGATCTTTCTCTGAGCACTCTGCCCGGATCAAAGGGATTTGTGTACAGAACTCAGGGCATTTCGGTAGGCCTTTTCCCCACCTCCTTTTCTAAAATTACATCATATTCAAATCGAGTCAACTCCCCAGGAGCTCCAAGAATAACAGAGCCTTAAGCAAATAATGAAATGTTGAGATGGGCCTGAGCAGTTATTGATCCAAGCGTTCTCTAGAAGTGGGATTTCAGCTCCAACCCTGTGGCACAAAAATAGACCTGGCCCCTTGCTCCTGAAGCCCTAACAAGAGGGGGTTTTTGAGGTGGGGCTCAGCTCAGGGATTAGAAGAAGGCATCTCCTGTTTGGCATCAAGGATGAAAAGCAGAGAGGCTGACCCCCCCCATTATGGCAGCAAGTGTCCGAGGGAGACACAATACAGTTTTGCAGAGGCTCTGAGACTACGGCAGGAGGCCCTTGGAGGAGGAGAGAGAGTGTGTGCTTCTGTCCATCTGCCCGTGCTTAGAAAATTTACAGTCACAAAGATTGTTACATAGTTTGAGTGTGGAGTCAAGGAGACTATAAAATACAGACTCCAGAGTTATCTTGAGAAGATTTTCGTTCACCCCCCCCACAAAAAAAAACCCTTAAGCCTCAGCACCCCTAGCTTCCTAGCTGGGGGGGGCGGGGTCCTAGTCATTAAAAAGAGAAACTGAAGGCAAATGGATGGGGGAAGCTAGTAGGAAGGGAGCACAGTTTGAACCAAGTCCGCTGCCTAGGAATTCTCCCCTTTGGGGTGGGTGATCTTCTGACCCCTAAAAGGCTGGTGGTCGTATCTCCAGCCCCTTCTCTGTGGCAGATTTCAAGTTAAGGAGAAGTTCAGCACTATTAACTACCTTTCTGGGCAAATCCGAGCAGAGTAAACTGAATTACAGTGCGCTTGAACGCAGCCTCCGAAAGACACCCCTACCCCCCCAACAACATCCACATTTACCTATCTGAATAAAGTTCAGACTGGGAGACTTGCTCTCCAAACTCCAGGCCTAGGCGCCTGAAGTTAGCTTCTTTCCTATAATTAGTGATCATAGAAAGCATGTGGTTTGGGGGCTGAGGGGGAGGGTGGGGGGAAGTGAGAGATTTTTCTCTCTCTTTTCCCTTTTCTGAGTTTTTTGAACTCAGCTCATCAATCCGCTAATTACCGAGGGGAAAAGGAGCCAGCTTTGAATGTGCTCTACTCCGCACGTATTTCCCCAGTGAACTCCTATTTGGGAGAAGTAGGAACGAGGGGAGAACAAGGAGGAGAAAGGGGATCTTTTCTGGTGAAGGTTATTTGATAATTTCTCCCAGTATGTTTTATAGCAACAAAAAGCAAATTCCCACCCCCACCATCGACGATTCCAACCCCCCCCCTTGTGCCCACCCCTCTCTTTCCGGGACTTCTGCATATTTACAGAGCTGAGCTGCAGTTTTAATAAAACATCTGTTCTTGCTTCTGCTGATGAGTTTCCATAATTGTTTTCAGACAAATTTAACGGGGAAAAATAAATATGGAGAGAAAAAAACTCAAAATCCCAGCTCTCCCCCCATCGACAGGTTTTCTTTTGCCAGAAAATTAGAAATGGAATAGGAAAAAAGAAAAATCAGATTGGAGAGAACATCCACTCAGGCCAAACCGTCTCCGTCTCTCGGAGTGAATCCCTCCAGCAAAATTCAGCGGTGTAATTAGAGATGTAATTGGAAGGGAGAGATTCGGTCCCTCAGGAAGCCAAGGTGAGGGAGGTATGGGCTTTTAAATTAATATTCCTTCGAGTGTTTAGTGGTTAGGAATTTATTTGTATTTATTTAAATTTTTTCCTTTCTCTAGCCCCCTTCCAACATTTCTGCCTCTCTCTACTACCCCCCCTCCCCGCCCCAGCAGCTGCTTTCTGTTCATTATAAATCCACCAGACCTTTAAGTCTTTGCCCTCTGTTTAGGGATGTAATAAAACACTTAACTTTCCACGACTGAGACTTACATTCTTATCGCCCAGGTCTTCCACCCCTGCCGGCCAGCACCTAGGGCCCAAAGAGTCTTCTTTACTAAGCAGAGATTCCCCCACACCCTCTTTAGACCTGGGTGAAGTCTAGAGTTGGGTGGGGTGGGGGCTGGGCATCCGGGCTGGGAGGTTCACCTCGGAACTCCCCCAGAAGCCCTTTCAAGGTTCGAGGATTTCCTCCCCCGCCCCCATCCATAAAAGGAGAAGATTTTTAAAAAATACATTAAAAAAATCAAGACTCATTGAAAACGAAACCTCATTAAAACATCCAATCTTATATCATTCAATTTGTTGTACATTGCAACAATTTAATATCTTGAAGGAAATATCATTGACATGATTTATCTCGGTTAGCAATCACTCTCTGGAATGGGGAAGAATTTACTCTCTCTTCCGGCCACTTCTACTTGTTACACCGCTGTTCTTCAAGCAGAAGGGAGGAGGGGGCTCACTAAAGTGTGGCCCTACATTCTAGGGGTTCGAAGATCTGTCTCCTGCCTCATCACTAGTCCCCCCCCGCCCCGCCCTTTCCTACCCTACAGGAGCCTGGAGACCCAGCCAGCTGTTGCACACTACTGCTTAGGCATGCCATGAATTCGAGGGCAGCTGGATACTAGAGAGAGGAACACAATACACGCGTGTGTGCTGGTGTGTTATTAAAAATTAGATAACACGTGTCAAAATTTCTTTCTTAATTTATAATCCCTCCCCTACCTCCTCCTTTCTCTTCCACCTCTGTGGAGAGAAAGCAGGAAGGCCACAAGGACATTCCCAAACAATTGAAGAGTTCCCCCCCACACACACCTTCTAAATACTAGTCAATCGTCTGTCACTACTATTTGGAATGGGAATGCATTTTTTTTTAATAGGCAACCCAAGTTACTTCACAGGAAAACACGTCAATCGAGTAACGAGGTATATATGTTAACTAACATATTCTCTCCTTTAGCTACTACACACTGTCTCCTTTTTGGTTACAAACTTTATTTTTTTCCCCCAGCGACACTCCAGGGAAACCTTAATGTTATAGAAGATGAATTAACGAGTTTTTTTTTTTTCCCAGTGTAGTCCCGTTTATGGCTTTATTGCTACCCATTGATTACTTCGCTTTGTTACACAGAAGGAAAAGATCATAAAATCCTTCGACATCCGGGTTCTCGTTATAGCCAAAAAGAGGGAGAAAAATATGAGCTCTTTCCTCCAACCCACCCCCTGCCTCAGCGCCCTCCCCCCCCTTGTCAAATCAAAGGATCTCTGGGTTATGTCGCCGACATTGAATTAAGTTTGATTTCAACAGAAGAGAAACCCCATCACGACACCTTCCTCTATGTATGTTCTCCCACTCCTGTTCCTTCTGAAGCTTTCAACTCCCTTCTTTTCCTTCCTCTGACCAATGCAGTAAGTTGGAAAGAAAATAGGGGGATAGATGAGGGATGAAGGTTATTGGGAAGGTTCCTGGGTCCAAGCGACACGTTTTTCTGGGTTTGAGGAGAGGAACATTTTCTACTGGGTTGTGTTCCAAACCCTGGAAGCTAGAGTTTGGGGGCTTATCTACTGACAAGCAGCAAGTCCAGAGTGGGACTTAGAGCTTCAGGTTTGGGGACAGAGTACCCTTAATCCCAACAGATCTTATATTCTCCAAGAACAATCTTCCTAGCTGATTTTCGGTGAGTTACCCCACCAGCCCCAACCCTCTCCATATCATAAATTCTCTCCAACATAAACACAGTTGATGTCTCCAGAATGCCCCTCAGAAAGAGCTCTCTCTCTCTCCCTCCCTCTCTCTCTCTCTCTCTCTCTCTCTCTCTCTCTCTCTCTCTCTCTCTCTCTCTCTCTCTCTCCTTTTCTTTTCTTTTCTAAAAAAAAAACCCAAACAACCCTACAAACAAATTTTTCACTGTTAGGAAAAATGCTCTCCATAGTCCCAACAGGAGACCCCAAGAGAAGACTGGGGAAGCAGAGAAGAGGCACACGCCAGCTCCCCGTTACCCCAACTCAGCTCTATAACTTCTCACTCTCCCTGTAAAGTCGAGAGTTCTCCTAGTCTCTTACTTGGGCTTTGAATTGCTCTCCCAAATGCACTCCACAGCTAAGATTATCAGCCCCACTCTCCTTCCACTGGCCAGTGTATTTAATAGAATTCTTTTCTACCCCTGAGGTGTTTTTGCTTTTTAATCAATAGGAAGACACATCGTATTCTGTCTGAGCCTCCATTCAGAGGGAACGGAAAAATAGGGTTGGGTGCTTTAGTGTTGCCTGTTACCCACTGAAGGGCTCTTCCTGGAGTTGGGCAGGGATAATTTTAGGGAAAGAGGTGCGACCCTACATATAACACAATCAGGTAGCAATGCATCCATTTCTTCAGGCCAGTTCCTGGGCAAATCTAATCTGGGTTAGCACTGGATGTGGGATTTTCCTGAGAGGACTTTCTCCCTCTCTAGCTGGCTCAAGGGCCTGCCTTGCCCCTCCTCCCTCTTCCTCTGTTCCCCAAACCTGGTTTCCTATACCAATATATATTATGTATGAATATAATATGTATTAAAAGAAATCCAAGTCTTACTTTGAATGCACACACTTAGTCTCAACTAGGGAATCAACAGAAGCAGGAGCGATTTTTTTCCCCCTTCTTGACATCTAGCTTCCGATTGGCTCCGAGGGGGTCAGCTGACTTTGTCATTTTGTCTGTCCTGGATTGGAGCCGTCCCTATAACCATCTAGTTCCGAGTACAAACTGGAGACAGAAATAAATATTAAAGAAATCATAGCCCGACCAGGTAAAGGCGAAGGGATGAATTCCTATTTCACTAACCCGTCCTTATCGTGCCATCTCGCCGGGGGTCAAGACGTTCTCCCCAACGTCGCCCTCAATTCCACCGCCTATGATCCAGTGAGACATTTCTCGACCTATGGAGCGGCGGTGGCACAGAACCGGATCTACTCGTCTCCCTTTTATTCGCCACAAGAGAATGTCGTGTTCAGTTCGAGCCGGGGGCCGTATGACTATGGATCTAATTCCTTTTACCAGGAAAAAGACATGCTCTCAAATTGCAGGCAGAACACCTTAGCACACAACACACAGACCTCAATGGCCCAGGACTTTAGCTCTGAGCAAAGCAGGACTGCTCCCCAAGACCAGAAAACCAGTATCCAGATCTACCCCTGGATGCAGCGAATGAATTCGCACAGTGGTGAGTTTTACAGCTCCAAGATATAAATTAAATAAAGTGAACTGGCGTTATGAGCAGCTTCCCTAGAAGAACAGGCGGAGAGTTTTTTTTTTTTTTATAGCGCCATAAAAACAATCACGTTCCTCTCCTCGCCGGCGTCGAGACAGGGCCCCCTCTTCTCCTCCGTTTTCCCCCTCCTCCTTCCCTTTCCCTAGCTCCCTCTCCCCTGATGGATTGGAGGGGTTATAGGCGAGCTAAGGGGGAGGTGAGGCTAGGGATGGGAACAAGGACTGAGAAGGATTGGGGGAACCCCTGAAAGTGGAGTCAGGCAGAGTGGAAGAGTGAAGGGGGAGGGGAGAAAGAAGAGAAGGGGAGAAGTTTCTAAAGGGCAAGAGAGGGAGCAAAGCAGAGGGAACCTGAGAAAGTAGGGAAAATCAAGTCAAATGCACTTCTAGAGGGTTCTCCTCTCTCCCCCCTCCCCTAAGCAATTGGGGTTTTCTCCTCTTCAAACTAAGGTTTCAGACTTTCTCCCTCAGCCCGATATCACTTCACCCTCTTCTTAATCCCCTCACCTCCAGGACAATACCTATCCCCTACACTGGGGACCTGGGAGGAAGTTGGGGTCCAAGTTCCCCCCTAGGCTTCGAGGAATTAAGATGGGGGTGGGGCAGAGGCGAAGGCAGAGGGGTGCAGTAGGGTACTGAGGGAGTTGGGCGGGACAGAGACACTTTCTTTTTCCTTATGTGAATTATTAGGATTATTCCCCTTTACTAATTGTTTTTAGTTTGCTTTGTGTCCGGATCTCTAGGGGTCGGCTATGGGGGCGGACAGGAGACGCGGCCGGCAGATCTACTCTCGATACCAGACCTTGGAGCTGGAAAAAGAATTTCACTTCAACCGTTACCTAACCCGGCGCCGGCGGATCGAGATTGCCAATGCGCTCTGCCTGACCGAGAGACAGATCAAAATTTGGTTCCAGAACCGCCGAATGAAATGGAAAAAGGAATCTAATCTCACTTCCACGCTGTCGGGGGGGCGGCGGAGGGGCCGCGGCCGACAGCCTAGGCGGCAAGGAGGAGAAGCGGGAAGAGACAGAAGAAGAAAAACAGAAAGAGTGAAAACTGTCTCGCCTCCCCCCTACCTTCCCCCACTACCCAGTTCACTCCTCTCCTCTTCCTCCCCAGACCTTCTGCTCCCCTCCTTTCTCACATACCCTATATTTATCACTGGCACAATTTATATTTTGACTCCCTCAGGAAAATTAGGGAGTCAAATGTGGACCTTCAAGTCAGATCGCGCCCCTGCTCCCTCTCCCCAAACACCCCCTCCTCCCTCCCTCTCTCCCTTTCTTTCTTCGGCCTCCTCTCCCTTTACCTCCCTGATCCCGCCGGCCCTGGGAGCCTAGGTCTCTGAACCTCGATTCAGAGGCCATAGGGCTCACTTTGAATGAGGACTGGATCTTCCTTCCTCCTCCACCCCAAGCCCCACTCTAGAGCCCAGCAGCAAAGAGCCGACCCACAAGGCGCCTATTTCCCATTCAGCCTCCCCAGGGGCGAGAGGGACTCTAAAGCCGAGTGAGTCATCGAGGCCCTACGTAGAGACACTGCTAAGGGTCTAAAACAACCCCTGGGGCTGTTGGAGTGGGCAGGAAGCTTCCCCCTTCTTTCAAACCCTGCTGGTCCCAGTTCCAATCCCAGTACCCCAGTTCAGTGCCCCCGAAGTTCCGACATATTTTCCAGCATAGTCCAATCGTATTTAAAGAATCCTCGGGGGTCATTATGGCATATAACAAACTGTGACAGTTTCTGTGTGAATATTTTTAGCTGTATTTGTGGTCTCTGTATTTATATTTATGTTTAGCGCCGTCAATGTTCCAATCCCAAATTTAAAAAAAAAAGGGGGTGGGGGGTCTGAAAGGAGAAAAATATGAATGAAGTTTGTTTAGCCAGTAGGAAAAAAAAGAGAAAAAAATACAAAAAAGAAAAAAATGCCCCTCGTGTTACCCTCCTGTATAAATCCGTCTCCCAGACCGGTCCTCGAGTATTTAATAAAACTGATATTATTTTTAAAAGTTTATATCCTGATTTCTGCTCATTCGCTCGCCCCATCTCCTGTACATCATGGGCGAAAGTTGGTGCTGGCGCCGAGTCGTTGCTGCGTCTCTATGCCTCCCCTGGCGGCTGCTTCTCTCCCCCAGCCCCAGTTCCAGCCCCTGCACACTCCCATTCCCTTCTGGTTTCCTCTCAGAAACTTCAGGAGCAGGAGCCCCGAAACATTCTCTCTCTGCTTCCTCTTTGTCCTCTTGTTCTGAGCTGAGAAAAGCTCCCTTCGATCCTTTCCCGGGGAAAAGGCAGTCTTAATTTTCCCCCCTCCCCCCCTCCACAAGAAAAAAATCGAATTTTTCATTGGAAAATGCCCTTCTAAAAGCCCACAATTCAGGTTGGAATCGAATCCCACTCTCAAAGTCTCCTTAAAGACTCCAAACCTTGAAGATTTGCCTCCTGACCCCACTATCCCCTCCCAAAAAAATAAAACCCAGGAAAGAAAAGAAGTTCACTCCAGGCACGGAGCTCCCAGAAGAGAGAAAAAGCTGGCAAGCTGACCCCTGAACTAGGGGCCGGCTGAGGCGAGATGTGTCGGAGGCAGCGAAAGGTGAAGAAAAGATTTGGAGTCAGTTCACAGAGGATTTGGCGACTCAAGGACGCTTAGAAAAATAAAGACGGGAAATTTAGTCCTCTCTTCTGCTGGGATTTGGACATAAGGGCAAAAATATATCTTTCTTCACTCGCCTCTCATCAGCACCCCAATTCTCCTTCTCCCTCAGATTCCCCTTCACGCTCCCAAGTCTGGTTGAAGAGCAAAGTTCAACCCGGTCTTTTCCCCTGCTCTGGGCCTTCTCTTTCCCTCCTGCCTTGCTTAGAAATCCTGACCCAAACTGGGAAGGAAATCTTTTCCCACTGAATTGGAATGTTGAGATGGGGTCTTCAAGAGGAATGAAAAGCCAAGAAGATTTCCAAAACCCCACACATCCCAGGCAGCTGCCAGAGCTTGGTGTTTCTCAATCCAAGGGCGGAGATTTCCCCAGGAAGGAAAGGAAGGAAGGAAAGAATGTGATTTGGAGTTGGGGAAAAAGAAATGGAAACCAACAGACATTTTAATGGGCTCTCCTCCAACTGGGAAATCATGTCCTGCCCGTCCTGATCTAGGACCTCTTCTGGCTGGCTGGTCCCCCAGATCTCTCCTCTTTCCTCCCCAAAGTCTTCTCCCTTCTCTGTCATGTCCCCACCCCCTTCTCCAAAGAAACGCACACATTCTATAAAGAGTTTGACTTATAGGAACCTAACCCAGAAGACCTTAGCCCTTAGAAAGTACCTATTTGCACACACCTGCCCCAAAGGGTGGAAAATATGCATTTATGGGGATTTTTACAAATCCTACTTTCCTGTGACTTCACATAATATCTATTTTCTATGCATATAGATACATATTGAATACATGTGTGTTACATGCACACAAATACCACTTTCTCCACTCAAACCACATTCGTTTGCAGGCCTTTGTGTCTCACTTTTCATAAAACACATATCACCTATACTATCACCATTAAATTACTCTAATTCCTACTGTGGGGTTGGATATGAGTGAATGTGGAGTGAGGTCTAATCATAATTATTTTCTCCTCACCTTCAAGCCCTTCTTAGACATCCTTTCAGTCTACTTTTGCCTCCACAACACCCACCTCAGCCTCCCCAACTCTTGTAGATCCAGGCATTCCCCTTCCCCAAATAACCCTGAGTGGCTAGACTTCCCTTTCCAAGTCAAGTCGTTTCGGAAACCTAATCAACTCTATTTGCTCCTCCCCCTTCCCCAAGGCAAGGAACTTAGGTCCTTTTAATTAGGAAAGAGGAAACAGATCCACTCCCAGCCACCACTAAATGAAGGGTCTAGCATCTACTCCCACTTCAATTCTTCCCCCCTCCCCCCAACACGCGCACAAATTCCTATAAACCAACTCATTCCAACCATCCTAGAAGACCCTGGGGGAGGGAGGGGCGTCGATCTATTCAGAAAAGCCCCTCTGCGCATCCTAAATGAGGCCCCATCTTTCCTTAAAATTAAATACAATTTAAAAGGCCAGCTCAGGGGGGTTTGTGTAAAACAGCACAGCTTCTCTTCGCTAGGGTAGAAAAATCCACCCAGGAGAGGCCAGGATGATGAGCCAGGGCGCAATACTGCCGAGCCTACGCCAGGTGTCGCTGTGGACTCGTTGTCCCTGCTACCCCCTAATTCCAACAACCATTTTTTTTTCTCCCCCTTCTTCTCTCCCTTTCTCTCGATCCCTCTCCCCTCGGTTGGGCTGTGCCAACATATCAAGATGCGTTTCGCCGGCTTCCATCACTAACCTCCCGGAGGTCATCAAGCCAAATTTATGAGTGGCCGCCCGAGTCACGTGACTCTATTTAAGGATCCCTTATTTGGAAAGCGCGCATAGGATAAAGAAAGAGATATCTCCACCTATAAATTGTGCACTTTGGAGAACAAAAAACCCCTCAACTTCAAAGAGTCACAAATCACCCTTAATCAAAAAGGGTGCAGAAATTTTTTTCGTCCCTCCCCGCCATGAGCTCCTACGTAGCCAATTCATTCTATAAGCAAAGCCCTAATATTCCTGCCTATAGCATGCAAACTTGTGGGAACTATGGATCTGTCTCAGAGGTGCAGCCATCCAGGTACTGCTACAGTGGATTGGACTTAAGCATCACTTTCCCACCGCCTGCTCCTTCCAACTCTCTCCACGGGTTAGACATGGCTGCCACTCCTAGACCTCACCCAGACCGACCCGCCTGTACCACGGTGGCAGCTCCGGGACACGCTCTGGGCAGAGACGAACCGGCTCCTCTAAACCCCGGGATGTACAATCAGAAGGCGGCTCGCCCGGCGCTGGAGGACAGATCTAAGGGGAGTGGGGAGATCAAGGAAGAACAGGCTCAGACTGGGCAGCCCGCAGGACTGAGCCAGCCACCGGCCCCGCCACAAATATACCCGTGGATGACCAAACTCCACATGAGCCACGGTAAACTTTAGGGCTTCATTTTGTGCGCTCGGGTCCGCCTGGGTTTTATAGGCCATACGGGGCAAATAAAAAGAAAAAACCTGCGGCCATAAATTTTACGGTGCAGGCATCAATTGCTCGTAAAACTGTCCACTAAAAGGCTTAGAGGCTGTATGCGCCCAAATTTACGACGACATAATTGGATCATAGGAACAAAACGTGTATAAAAGGCAATATTCAATTTTTTGGGGGGAGGGAGGGAGTTAAAAAAATAGAGGGATCTGAGGGGTAAGGCAAGCTGGCCTTACAGAGAGGGGATCCCCCCCTTCACCAACACCCCCATTATTAGGGAAATGATTCTCATTGCGGGGGCGACTGAGGAGGCTTTCCACCCAGGAGGGAGGGAGGGAGGAAGCAGGGGAGGATAAGGGAGGGGGATCCCCTTGTGTCGGGGTCTGGAGGTCTTATTGTCTCGCTGGAGTCCGGGTCTCCCTCCCCATCCCCCTCGGCCTCCTCTGGGTAAGTGAGTGTCGGAGCGGAAAGTTTCCCTAGCACAGAGCCAAGTGTCGCCTCTCCCTAGGGCCGGGGGCTGCTTTCGTTCCCTTCCTTACCCCCTTTTGCCCGCCTGCCCTGTTCTCTAGTCTGTGGGGCTAGTTCTGAGACTGATCTTAGGGTGGGGGTGGGGGGGGGTAGGGAGACGCTGGGACTTTTAAAAAACTATTCACCCGTTCCTGCACTTGCTGGGGTGGGGTTTATATTCCAGAGACAGACGGCAAGCGATCCAGAACCAGTTACACGCGCTACCAGACTTTGGAATTAGAGAAAGAATTTCACTTTAACCGCTACCTCACCCGCCGAAGGCGAATTGAGATCGCCAACAACTTGTGTCTCAACGAGAGACAGATCAAGATCTGGTTCCAGAACCGAAGGATGAAATGGAAGAAGGATTCCAAATTAAAAAGCAAAGAGGCTCTTTAAAGGGAAGAGGGAGATATGGGATATGGCAGTCCCTTCAAATAGTTCCTCTAGTTGGCTTGAATTTACCTTGGGGAAACTTTTAATTTTCTTTTTTTCCTGGGGGTTTGTTTTTTGGGTTCTTTTGTGTGTGTGTGTGTGTGTGTGTGTGTGTGTGTGTGTGCGTGTGTGCGCGCGCGCTTGCTTATGTGTGTGAAAATTTTTTAGAGGATGGGGGTAGAGGGGTGTGTGTGTTGGAGCTGGGGGGATTTGTCACGGACTCTCCCAACCCTGCAGACAAAAGCGGTTTTCGATTAGCATTCAGCTTTCCAACCGCAGCTTGACTCAGAGTGTGTTGTTCTGTTCATTCACTTCTTCAGTCTGTCTCCCTAAGCCCTCCTGGCGACCCAATAACCCAGTGAAATCTTCGTAGAGGGTCTCACTAAAATGATCTAGACCCCGGGACTGTTTGATGGGCCAGGCGTGGGGAAGGAGAGAGCTCTTTGCCTTCAAAATTCTCCTCCTGAACCTCGCACTACCAGTTAAGGCAACAGCCAAGAAACCCCTAGTCCCATCTTCTTGTCCCCTTCATCTCTGGCTACGTTTCCTGAAGGAGAGGCCGGCAGTGGTCTATTCAGGGCTAGGGTGGTCCCTGCAACCCTCTTTGGGCAGAGCCACCACCTTTGGGCTCGAAATGTATAACACCCCCTTTCAGGCGACCTTCAGCCTTTCTTTGTTCAAGGGGGCCCTGCTACAGAGCTGGCGAGTTGGGACCAGGCCCAGGAAGGGTATCTTTTCTTCAGTGCTGTGGGATTCTGTAGGTGTGGGTGATGGTCTGACTGTGTGAGTGAGTGGGTTAATTTTTTTTTTGGGTGGGGAGGTTGTTTCGTTTGTTAAACTAGATTTTCATTATTTTTTTATGATTTACATATGAAAAGGGAAAAATTTAATGAACTCTGGACACTCTTTTCCAGGCCCTCTTGATGTCCCTAAGCATTACTCCTCCTTTCAGTTTTGGGGGAAAATGTTACCCCAAACCAGCTCCCCGCATGCCAAGGGCCAGCTCCCCGGAGTCCCTGCACTGTTTGTATATATTGGGGTCTACCTTCATGTGATGTGCTCTCTGACTCCAGTAACAACTCTTGGTGACAATGTAGTCCCTTCCTGGCAACTTTCTTCGGGGAAATTCCCCCACCACTGTCACCCAACTATTTATTGACTCCGGGTCCATTATGAAACTATATTTTGTCATATTGAATAAAGACCAAATAGACATAAAGAAAGAAGGCGGCCACGCAATCCTCTCTTTCTTGACGGGGAAGGGCAAGGGAAGGTGGGTAGGAGTCTCTAAACTTTTTGTAGAGGCTTCTTGAGGGGGTCCCCTTTACTTTTGGGAGTCATTCCTAAAGAGGGCTTTCAAGACTAGATTTGGGGGTGCCCAGGTTGGCTGGCAATGAAGGAAAAGGAATCTTAAATTTCTAGGCCTTGGGAGTTGGAGAGGAAGGAGAAAGCACCCTCCATTTGGCTTGGTTGGGGGCATACATTTGAACAGAAAAGAAGATATGAGTGTACTGGCACATGTATATGTTCTTTATGCATATATGATATAATCTCTGTGTTTATATAAGTAATCCATGTCTGGAGTCACCCTTCCTTGGGCCTTATTGGATTTCTGGTCTCTGCGAAAAAGCAGTTGAAGATTCATGGCCCCATTGGTCAGGGCTGCCCTCTCAGTTGGAGAGTCTCTTTGGGAACTGGATGGCAGGTTTCCTTTCTTGGGTCTCTTGCCACAGACTGTTAGGGGTGGGGGAAAGGGAGACGGGAGGATCTGGACCTAGGAAAGGCTGAATGTCTGCAAAGGGAATCAGACTATTCCTCAAGTGGCATCTCCTGAAGGAGCACACTGTCTTGGCATGTTTGTGGTAATGGGAAAAAGAGGCAGTGACATCTGACTTTCCCTCTAAAATCTTCTTGGGAAGAAGTATATGAAATTATATACGTATGAAGATGGAGAGGTGACAGACATGGGGTGGTCTGCATTGTGTCTTCATAGTATAAAATGAGTCTCTTTAGGTCTGTCTCTCCACTTTGCTGAGCAAAGGGCTAAGTTATCTGGTTAGTTCAAGCAGTACAGGTAAGCCTTCCTGGCTCAAATCTATCTTGTATTTATTGACGTACATTTTGATGCATGTCCTTTAGGGTCTATTTAGGGAAAAGGAGGCAAAATTCTCCCAATGGTGGTGGCTGTAGAATGAATCAAAACAACCACACTGTGGATTCTCCTCACTGGACAGTAAGGACATGAGGGTGGTAGAAGGACTTTGTAGAAGAAAAAGGAAGAAGCATTGTACAGTAGAAACAAATGTAGCAGCCATCTAAGGCCCCATAAAAGTTTATAGCATTTCCTCTCCACCATCTACAATGGAGGTAATTTCCTGAGTTTGAGCCTGATGCCATCCCACCATTTCCCACCCTTCAGAACTGCCTGGGAAGGAGGGGGAGGGGAAATCCCAGGAACTGGGCCTCAACTTGCTAAAGGTCCCAAGGAAAAAGACCCAAGGAGGTGGAGGCCAGGAGCAGACAGGGATTGGGGAGGAGGGAAGGTAAGAGGGTTATTTGTGATTATTAATGATGAAGCTTTTTGGATGTATTACAGTCCTCTGTATTGACTCCTCTTCCTTTCAGCACAGCCTGTCCTGCTTTTGTTTTTGTTTTTAATTTCTGTGAAGGGATCTAAGGGGTCCTTTCCCCTTATGTACCTTCCTCTATGTCCCCTTCCAGACCATTTAACTCTGTCTGAACACCCAGTTCTAAATGAAGATTTGGCTGGTGTTGTGACTCCCTCCTCTGGGGTTCCTGGACCTGCATTCCCTGCCTGTGATCCCTCAAATTATCTGTCTCGCTAGCTTGCTTTCACTGTGAAATAAAATGTATAATTTTCTTCAGGGAGTTATTTTAATTTTTTCTCCATGCTGAGTAAAACTATTGGGCGATCGCTGAAGCAAGGAAAATCACTGTTGTCTCCTGTTGGGTAGCAGTTAACTAAGAAAGAGGGCTTGTCGCTTGCTCCCAGCCCCTTTCCGACCAGCGGGCCCTCCCTAGCTGCCTGGACTCAGGTTCACCCGGGGAAGTGGGAGATGTAGCTCTCAATAGGACCCCAGAAGACCTGTAAAGACCAAAAGCTGAAGACTTCCTCCTCCCAGGTGGTTAGCCCTTCTCTCCTTGAAAGACTGGAGTCCCTCTTCACTTTTTCATCCCTCTAGGCCTGCATAGATTCAGCTGCTGTCTCCTCGAGCCAGTTTCAGACTCTCCTTTTTCTCCTGTCATGATGGCCCTGGGCCTTTCCTCCTAACACACCAATCTCTATTTCTTCGTTTCCCAAACCAAAACAGTCAAAGCTTCCTTCTCTCTTCCTCTTTTCCTTCCTCTGCCTGCTTGGGGAGGGGATTTGGCAAGCAAGGCTGACGACTTCTTTCCTACTTACACCCCTTCACCAGCCTCAGGGCTAGGGACTAGGACATCTTGTCAGCTATAGACAATATCTAAATATTTGCTTTTGCGTTTCTCTGGAGAGTTGTTTGGAGGTGAGGGGTGATGTATATGAGTCCCAAACGGAGATCACAGATTACTTGTCTCCCCTGCCCCCTCCCTTCTCCCTGGAGCCCAACCCTTCTGGCAGCAAGAAAAAAGGGGAAGAAGCATGACTTACCTTCCCGAGGGAGTGGGGAGGGGGGCACGGGCCCACTCTGAGGAATAAGAGGAGAGAGGAGGAAAAAAAAAAGGAGGAAAAAAATCACGCGACCACGGAAGGCGACAGGTCCTTATGAAAATAAGTCAGTAACTAAGTAAGTAAATAAATAAGGACCCACCCTCCCCTACCCCCCACCATGCAAGGGGGTGCGGGGTGGGGGAAAGGGAGGAAGCAAAGAGGGTTTTTTAAGTGTAAGTGAGCATTCGAGAAATAACGCATGGCTTCTATGTGAATTTAGGAGTTTGAAACTTTTGGAGGTTATTTATGTGAATGGCCCGAAGGCAGGCCCGTGAGTGGCTCTTGGGGAACCACGTGATGTCATTAAACCAAGTTTTATGGCGTAGGGAGAGCTGACAAACCCACAATATATTTACATCATATATAATCTTAACTGTCCAGCAACGCAGCTGCTGGTGAGGTTTAATGCTAGGACAGAGAGCCAGGCAGTTAGAGGGGATTACGGCGGCTGGGGATGATGTTAAGAGAGGTTACATCTTCGCAAATGAATCCCAGGCGAACGCTGTAAGTTAATTCTCTCTCTCTCTCTCTCTCTCTCTCTCTCTCTCTCTCTCTCTCTCTCTCTCTCTCTCTCCTCCCTCTTCCCCCCTTTTCTCCGTTTTACGCACAAAACTCCCCCAACTACTTGTGATCACAGTTAAAGGGAGAGAAAGGGGAAGAAGTCCCCTGAAAAGAAAAGAGAGGAAAGGAAGACTGGAGTTGGGATTGGGTGGGGAGAGCTGTTGTATTTGCAGAGTGGTAAGGCAAGGTTGGGGGGAGAGCTAAGTTCTTTGACTCATCTCTCTCTCCTGCCCCTCCACCTCATTTTCTCTCAATCACAAGTTATTCTTTTAAGGTACTTTAGGAAGAGAGCATTTAGTTCAGTAAAGAATTTACCTCCCTTCCCTAATCTTCCCAGTCTGGGAAGACTGAGAATCCTAGATGGGGATAGAGTCGTGCTGGCTTCTTGTTAGAATATTTGTATTCTGAGTGCAAAGCAAACTTCCCTCTTTCTCCTACCTACTTTCCCCACCCTTGCCCTTGGTTATAATTAGCTGACTTCAAAACTTTGCTGGATTGGACTATCTTGAAGATAAGAGCACTGGTTGGATTGAGACATAGGCAGGAGGGAAGAATGGGAGATTATCTGCTTTTTTTCCTTCTCCTGGTAGAGCTGGGAGTCACCTGGAAATGTTCTTTTTTTCTTTCTTCATCTTCAAGGGCTTCTGAGGAGACTTCTGAGCTGCCAGGGTGGGCTAAGGAAAAGGAGACCTCAGTTGGAGTAGGTTGGTCCCAAGACTCAGGGAAATAACCCTGAACCTCACTCATCCTTCCCTCTGCACTCTAGGCCAAGCCAGGGGTTAAGGTGGAAGAGGAAGGAGCTGTCTTCTGGCCCTCAGAATTCAATGTCATGGAAGAGTCTGAGGGAAGGAGGCATTCTCAGCTACTCTCTCAAGCTGCCTAATAGATTCTCCCTTCCCTTCTTAGCTTCTAGGGTGGTCAGGCCCCAGGAGTGCAAAAACTAGAATAGTTCAATGGAAGGTTTTGGTTTTTTGTGCAAGCCCTGTGAATCTGGAAGGAGTGGGTTTGAGCAAGGAGAAAGAATCCTCTGCCAGGAACACCCTGTTCCGATGGGCAGGTAGTTCAAGGAGAATGGTCTATAGCGCTTGGAGTTCCGACTGTGCTAACATCTGACTTGGAGGGTCTTTGTACTGGGGAAGGTGAAAGAGAAAGAGCACATTAAGTGTGGGTGTTGGAGGCACGTGTCCCCACACACCTGAGAGCACATGCTCTCCCCTCCTCCTATTATGCGTCACGTTATCCTACGTAGCAAAAGCATGCACACATGGAATCTAGGTAAATTTATGCCCTGGAGTATTCTCCATCCCAGAGAGACTGGGGTAGGTCAGAATTGTTTGTGGATAAAAACTGGCTTCCCCAAATGGACTAGCAGATCAGAGAAGCAGGGGGGAGAGGGGAAAGGGAAGTAAAGGGGAAAGACATGACATCAGCCTATTCGAAGACAAGGGATACCTGGAGTGTCAAAGCAATGTTGGAGGTGGGAGAAGGGCAGAAGAGGATGTGTCAGCATCGACTCAGAGCAAACCGAAAACCTGAAGTGGGAGAGGGAAATAAAAAAAGACCCAGAGAGACAAAAGCAGTAACCTAGAGAGGGTAAAGGAGAAAGAGTAGAGACAGAGGCAGAGAGATATAGAGCCAAAGGGAGTTATTTAGGGAATCACTCTAGCTATCTTACTATGTTATCTTATTCTTCTTACACCAAATGGGTTCAACAGGGATGTACATTTTAAGAATTCCTACTCTCTGCTTCATCCCCACCACACTGCTCCAGCTTAGCACTGAGCCCTGGCCAATAAAAACCTTCAAATGCACCTTCTTTCCCTTCACTTGGAAGGGTAGAAAGCCCAGCCTCTCCTACTCCCAGATTGGTATATCTAGGTTAACTATGAAGCAATCCTTCGACATCACTCCTTTGGCTAATTTTGCTATTAATAACCATTTATTCATAATCATTTATGCATTTGTGTATCTTTTTTCAGATGCCCCTTCCCTTTTCCTAATCCTCCCAAGCTCTCTGCCCACTTATTGTCAACTTCCTCGCCTCTAAGTATACTTCTTCCTCTCCCATTCATAGCTCCTACTCTTCTCTTACTCTAATTCCCACCTTTTGGAGGATTTCCCCAAAATTGAAAGCAGTAGGTTGCACAGAGCCAGGTCTCTCTGGAGCGCTGGGCTGGAATGTGTGCTTTGGGTGTATTACCTATCACTTCTTCTTCGTTCGACTGCTCTAGCTTTCTTGCTTATCCCTACGGCTTTGATGGAAGGGACAGTTGAGTTTCTTTCTGAGGAAAGGGTAGAGTCAGGAAATCTGGGAGTAAGACAAACTGGACATACAAACTTCAGTACAAAGACTTGAAGGCTCACTAAAAACTCAGCCATAAGCATGGCACACAAACATGTATATGTGGCGTGTGCTTTACACACAAATACGAGCAAACATGTTTTTCTAACTCACTTGGGCTCTTTCTCTCTTACCTGGGCACAGTAGAACCATTTAACTTCCCTGACCGCACTCCTTCCCTCCTGCACTTTGCATTGGTCAGTTTCACTGTTTTGTCCTTTGCACCAGGGAAACAGGAATGTGCTAATAGGGACTCTTTCCTGGTCTTTCTATCGCCCCGAGCCACCTCTGCATGAACTTGGCTCCTTTCTGGAGAGGAGGAGGGGCATCAAATGCCTCCTGTCCTTTCATCAGGTGCCAAGGTATCCTCACTGCAGCAGGAGGGAATGCTGTATTTTTGTTCCTAGGTCTCTAACCCAGGGAGAGGTCAAGCAACCAATCAGGCATGCGCTAAGCAAGGTCACATGCCCCCCGTCAGCCAATCAGCAAAAAGTCCTTGGGTCCCTTTCTCTGTTCCCTCCCCCCCATATCTTTCCTTAGTCCCCTACACTCGCCGCCCCCCACCCCCAACATTAATCCACCCTCACCAACGGGCAACACTGGGAGCCATATTACTCTGTGAATGGTGCTGGCTTTCTCTTTGTGACTTTCTCTCCCATTTGCCCCCATCCTGTCTTGGGGAGTCCTGAGCTCGACTGACCTGGCTTTGAGAACGATGGATCTCTGATCCAAATCTGATTTCTAAAAATCCAATATCTAAAGGGCCATTGAGGCTAAAGGGTGAGGTGGGAGGGAATTGTCCGAATGATTTCTAGTGTGGACCTGACCCCTTTGTGTTGGATGGGGAGCTTTCATGGATTCCATTTTACAAACAAGAATAAATCTGAAGCCGTCATTTCCCTTGATCTAAATGCAGACTTTTAAAGACTAATCTCACAAGTGCTAAATTTTCCTCGAGTTTTCACTTTTGTCTAATGTTGTTGTCCGGTGATAGTAAGGGTAAAGAGAGATACTCCAGTAACTTACCTGGATAAAGTATCCTCAAAGATGAGGCAAGGGTTTGTGGTAGAAATGAATAAGACTCCAAATGTGGAAATAAATGTTTACAGAGAGAAGGTGAGGAGTGAAGATTTTGTAAAGTTGAAATTTGGTGGGTCCTTTTGGGGGAAGAAGCCTAAAATTAATTGGGGATCAGGTTAGCAGGCCAGAAAGTCCAGAAAGGGCAATAGCTAAGTGGATATTCCTTCCCATAAATCCTCTGATGTAAATCATACA